CACAAACTCGAGGCTAACCCTGTGCAAATGAGTCTGTAATCAAGAAACACAGCGGTAATTTGGAATTCGAAACGGGTCTATTCGTTTTCTGGTTTTCCGGGTTTTTCATCTTCACAAGTATCGGCAACATGTGACGTCTTACACGTGCATGGATGTTGACGACATGGTAGCTCTCGGGGAAAAAAACACATTTGAATAGCCCTATTTCACTATGACGTCACTGCTTGTTTATGTGGGGGATAGAATCACCAAATCCAATAGAAAATTCAACAAAATTTGCTCCTAGCGAAACAGTTTAATCTAAAATGGCCTGGTTTTCAGATATAATGTGCAAATATGTACTAAGAAATTAATTAAATTAAAATTAAAATAACAATAAATAAGGAATAGTGATTCAAGTTCCTTCCATTTCAACGTAAAAGACGTAAACGTAAACGTGTCACTTGCGTTGACATTACAGTATTTCATTTAAATTGAATAGRCTCGACAAGATGTCTGTACTACGAGAAAATGAACACGTTACACTTCGTTCTGTGAGCTTGACATCTTTTAAAATTTAATTGGYGTTTTGAAATTACTCCAGCTCAGTGTTATAAAGATATTTTCGTGTAAGGAAAGGTACGTTTTGTCTGGGGCGAGGGATGGGCTGTCCATAATGGTTCACTTTTTTAATGACGTCCTGACCCTCTCCCGGCTCTGAGGCCCCAACCCTCCCTGCCACTCACTACAAAACGCATCTTCCCTATGTAAAGTCATATATGACTACAGCTGGTGAAGGTTGGCAGGGGTTTTGTTGCATGTTACGTGTTGCATACTAGGCCAGAATGGCACTATGGACGACAAAAATAATATCAGCCAACTTGGGTCACGACCGGCTATGTGAAGTTTTCCTAAAATGGCGGCTGATTTTGACTTTTTTATGTATTTTTGTTTCTTGTTGTTGTTGTTGTTGTTGTTCTTGATGATGATGATGTTGCTGTTGTTGTTGTAGAAGAAGAATAGAGACCTTTAGATCCGACGACGAGTAAGAGAACGAGTACGAGTACAAGTTTCTAGCTTTTCAAGATTGGTACTGTCATTTCGTATTCGTAGTTGTGTACGTAGATTGAAACTTTAAATTGTAAAAAATCGGGAATCCACTATGATTCAGTRTTAACCACACGCATAGGACCAATTTTAAACTTGTACTTGTACTCTATCTCGTACTCCAAGTTGTTGGATCTAAAGGTCGCCAATAAATCGGTGGCCACGAGCGACGACGGAGCTTTTAGTTGACTACAACCTTGATTTCTGTCTCTGAATGGAGACTGAGCAATCGCCTAACTATACAACTCCCTGCCCAATTGGTTAAAAAATTACATCCATGCATATTTATCAATACCATTTCCTCCATCAAAGCGATAAAGCCATAGTCTAATGGTAAGGTTTTGATAAATGAATTGATTCGTAGTGATCGTCTTTTTGATAATCGGCTCAATTTTTACTCTCGTCAAAGTTCTGCCGGTAAAATGTGAGCTCCCGTCTTAGTTGTAAGAGATATCATTCCAAGATCTTTGGAAGCTCTATATCGGTATAATGAGTTACAAGTGATAGAGAGATTACGCCTATTTCCTGCAAGACATCTGGACTTGGCTTGTGTTAAACCTAGGCGGTTTCTATGACAACCCAGTTGGTATCATCGACATCTCGATTATTCGTGAAGGCTTTCGGATWAACGTGGTTTTTCAGCTGACAGTGTTAAGCACGTTCAAGAAAGTAGCTTTATAAATAAACAAACGTATYAGTCGCTTTTAGAATTGAAAATAGACTAAAACGATCTTTAGATAGAGAAGAAGGAAGAGGAGAGCTACCTCGTTTGAACCAAAGCCATTTTGAAGGTAACAGGATCGATCGCCTKTTTTTGCGAAAGTTTCTATCGATAGATTATATTCTATTTCAAGTGAGTCCTTTCTACCAATTTTAGAAATTTCTCACTGTACAATATCACGTATCGTAGCGGCATTGCACTTGTCACTCTTGGCTGGACACGGCATCACATGTCCCTTGATTCATTGCTTTTTCTCTTCGTTCTTCGCGGCTTTCGACTTTTCTCAAAACCTAATGAGTTAGCTGTGCCCTGATTTAGATCAGCCCAGAGGTTGTTTCAGGGTTCTATCTGTGAATGAGYCATGCCCTGACTTGGATCAGCCTAGAGGTCGCGTTTCTGAGGGTTTGATCTGAAGGTTACCCATGCGCTGACTTTGATCAGCCAAGCGGTTGTTTCAGGGTTGGATCTGTGAGTTAGACCTGCCCTGACTTCGATCAGCCCAGAGGTTGTTTCAGGGTCCGATCTGTGAGTTAGCCATGCCCTGACTTGGATCAGCCCAGAGGTTGTTTCAGGGTTGGATCTGTGAGTTAGCCGTGCCCTGACTTAGATCAGCCCAGAGGTTGTTTCAGGGTCCGATCTGTGAGTTAGCCATGCCCTGACTTGGATCAGCCCAGAGGTTGTTTCAGGGTTTGATCTGTGAGTTAGCCGTGCCCTGACTTAGATCAGCACAGAGGTAGTTTCAGGGTCCGATCTGTGAGTTAGCCATGCCCTGACTTGGATCAGCCCAGAGGTTGTTTCAGGGTTTGATCTGTGAGTTAGCCATGCCCTGACTTGGATCAGCCTAGAGGGTGTTACATGCAGGGTTCCGATAAAATGAGAGTTTTAATCTTCAAAGATATACATAAAATATAAAAATTAAATATAAATATGCCTAGTAATGCGGACCGATTTGACAACTCAAATTCATTAAAACTAAACTAGTGGATATCGTATCGGGCACTGACTGCCATGTTAAAATTGTGGYGAAGCTCAGTTTGGAAATTTAACCGGCTGTCATTTGGAAATGCTTTCATATAAAAAAACGATTCATGTTTTAACGACAGGATTTATGGTTGTGGGAGGAAGACAACGAGGTAACAGAGGCAAAGAGATCTCTACATATTATTCGCATAATACCTTGAGTCGAAACAAATGTGTCGTAGATGTCCTAGATATTTTTATTACCGTAGGTATGAAAGTTAGTAGACTGACGTTTCGGACATTAGTCCTTCGTCGGAGTCAATGTCGTATTGTCGAAATGGGAGAACCTTTCATTGGGAGAACCTTCATAGCACTCGAGTCATGACCAGTTGATGTAGTGTATTCAATAAATCTAATGTATTCTATTGTCGTTCTATCTATTTTATCAGGTGTGATTCATTGTATTTTTATGAATACATTACGAAAACTGCTTGCTACATAGGCAGTCTCCCGTGGTCCATTCATTAAGGCTGTAGTCACTTTTGTATTATCCATTACGCATGCGCATATCCTTGTAACTTAATACACAATCTATTTCACCAGGAATTGTGTGTTTTTCATGTCTGTGTCGCCATTAACGAGTTAATTGCAAGATGTTGAAATTTCATGTCAACAAGCAGCATAGTATAAGTAAACTTGTTGTATTAATAACGAAGTGCTGCATARGTAAATACTGCAAGTGCATGCTTTTATAGGTAGCCATCATGCCTCCAAGACCTACGCTCTTGAAGTGCATTAAATAATTAGTCATTGTATATTGGTTTAAATCGATTTTTATCCTTAAGAAAAGCAAAATTTTAAAAGAAAACAAAGAAGACTGAATGTATAGGAAGGAAGGAAGTTAGATAAATTTAAATGAAGAAGAATAAGATAATTGGTTGATAATAATATAATAATAATGATAATAATAATAACAANAATAATAATAATAACAATAATAATAATAATAACAATAATAATAACAATATTTTTTTAAAATTATATATACAATATCTAAATATATTTGCAACAAATTAAATTATAATAATTAATAATAATGATAGGATGATGGATGATGATGATAGATAATGATAGACAGGAGTCGCGAGTTAWTGTTATCAAGCGAAGGAAATAAATAAGCGGAATTAGTTTTGTTTCCTGCTTATCTCATGTACAATTGATTCCGTTTAAAGGGTTGAACGACACGTTTCGTGCAACGCCGAAAACCAAGGGAAAAAAACTAGAAAACTAAAACACAAAGAATGAAAATACTAGCTTAGTTTTGACTCGTTGCTTCTTGACAAACGAATTTCAAGTTCGAGTTATCGAGGCTCAAATTATAAACACGAASGCCTTTCGAAGGGGGCACTAGAGAGTTTTAGATTGACTTTTTTTCTCCCCGCAAATGGCAAACGTGACCACGTTTTCATCGTTTTCCTGTACTTTACTTTACCTTTTACAAACCTTCTCACAAAAGACAAATATTCTTTTGTTTTTCAACTACTTAGACTTTTTTGCGATTCTTTTTAAGCTATTTAAGATAATTTTTAAATGGTCAACTGACGTTTCACGTTTGCCGCGAATGCAAATCTAAAACTCTCTACTGACTGAGCGGCGCTAGCTACTGATCGCTCTGTAATTAAGGATGTGATGATTAATATATTAATTCTTGAAATATGAACTGTCAATCAGATCTAGTGGTATGATCTACTTTGAGTAAAATCTTAAGATAAATCATAGGTAATCGTAACTGAAGGAAAAGGGTAGCTGAAAAGAATTGAGAGAAGAAAAGGAAATGGTCGAGGGGAGGAGCGGAGAGGAGAGGAGAGGAGAGAAGAGAAGAGGAAACGAATAGAGTAGATCAGAGCCAGAGATACCATGTCATATTCCTAAGAAATGATAATCCTGCCCATAAAATTCATTTAAAACCTGCTTTGTAAGATGATGGTTAGCTAGATTTTTTGATTGCATAATTTTTTCAGTGAGCAAGATTGGATAATAATTACTTCATAATATTAACACAAATGCGTATGAAACGCTTTTGCAGCCATGGCGACAGAACATCTTAAACATACGACATTAAAAGGGTCGTGTTTTCATAGACTAATGTATAATCTATATTGAATTTGCCCCACGCAAAAGGCTAAAGCTAAAACTTTCATTTTAAAAGCAGACAAAAGCAAGCAAAATTTTACATTCATTTTGATTATAAAACGGATTGGAATTGCTACATTATTGCTATTGCATGACGTAACTCTAGAGATCAAGTCGACCAATCAGAATCCAGTTTTTGGGTTAATTTATAGATAGGAGCGTTGGRCTTTACTAGTTATTTTCTTTAGCCAAAAGGCACGAACTTTCAATCGGCAAGAAATACAGCATTTGGTTTGATAATAGGGTACATTTCAACTGTGATGTAAACCTTTTTTCAAAGCTACTGTGTGAACTGCGAAATGCCATACTGAACCATTGTACAATTAACTTCGAGATTTATAAAGGTAGGTCAGAGAAAAGCTTATCAAAATTGCATCTAAACCTTAAAATATATGGGTTTTATTAAGCTTAATTATAAACCGCTTTAAATAAGACGTGTAGGCAATCAAGAACAGGTCAAATAAGTACGTTTTTGTATGTTTTTTGAAGTATAGCGATGACTAATTGTTGCCTTTCRGAGCTGAGAAACATATGGAGTCGAATTTAGATTTAAAGATTATCCTATGAAGTTAAATTAATATAGCTTCATTTCCGCTCATTTTTCATTTTGTTAAAAGTGAAAAAAGCTGTGTGAAATTAAAGTAGTGTTAGTGGTAAGAAATAATATGAAGTTAAGATTCAATCGTGCTAATGTAGTTTAGGCAATGTATGATTGTGGTGTTGGCGYAGAGGATTCAAATAATGTCTTGCACCTGGTACTGTAAGTTGGTATTAAATGAAAACAAAACATTTACACTCAAAAATTCAAACTAAAGGAGAGAGCGGAAGAAAGAAAAAAGCAGAAGTTAATAGAGAAGAAAAACAAAAGGAAATAAAAAAAAATAAATAAATAAAACGAACGAAAGTAAGAACATTAAAAACATCAAGTTCAAATGCACGTCTTTTCGAAGATCYCAAATCGTAAACCACCTAACGTTAATTTGTAAATTTTCTATTCTGAATAAGAATTATACTATTTTTGAATAAAATAATCTGCAAGCACACGAACACGGATTTTTATTTCAGTATAATTATAGAGCTATAGATGTAAATTGAGTATTAAAAAAAGATTTTAAAATGGACAAAAAAATGCTATTTTAGTTTGAGATATTTTCGAAGATAAAATAAGACGAGCAAGAAACACGTCATACATTTTCATGGCTATGCTCCTTAATTACAAAAAAAGTGCAGTTAAATGCGTCTTTAATTATAGTAASATTTTATAATTAATTATGTAATTAAGCTGTTGGAAATCTAGTTTAAAAAAATGACGGCTAACGAAAGAAGTATTGATGGTTTCGTGACATTTAATATAATCTTGTTAAGCAAAAACAACAACAGCAACAAAAAAACAAACAACAAAAAACGAAAAACATTGGAAAATATTCTGATTATGAATTATTAACGACTCCCAAATCTGCTGAAAAAACTATTTAGTTTCGGGGAACCCTATCACTTTGATAGTAATATAATTTGCCAAAAATGTGGTATTTTATATAGGTTTTTGCACTTTATATATCGAATATATCAACATTAAAAAGTAGGGAATAACAAAAAGCACTCGTATATATATAGACTATCACTGTATATGCTTATCACAGCATAATAATAATAATAATAATAATAATAATAATAATAATAACCTTTCATAAGACAGTACTTTTTTAGGTATTCCTTTAAAATAATGTTTTTCTTTACTTAGCTGGGAAATACCAACTTTTGTAACTTCTTCAGTATATTTATGTCTTACACCTAATTGCAGGAACTTTCTAATATATATAAAAATATAAAACATATAACAAAATATCAAATAGGACTTCATTACTGCGGTTTTCCATATTCTGCGAACTCTGTGTTTGCACGCTGAAATTTGTTTCTTTGCTGCCGTCAATCAAAAATAATCAGTCAGTACCTTCTACGTTGATATATATATATATATA